AAGGAAATGTGACACATCCCTGAAGTCACTGGTTTGAGGGTGGGCAACAATACGATCCAAAGGCAGCTGTGACTGGGTTTCTCCATGTACTGTAGAAGTTGGCAGTTGGCTGAGTACCCAGTTGGGTAGGTAACTACAGTACATTGTGTTTTAAAAATGTGATCTGCAGTACAATATGTGTTAAAGTAATTTTGCTGTAACTTTTACCTGAGCTTAATGCAGAAACAGTATCTTGAGAGCACAGTACATTCCAGATGTTGAGAACCATTAAACATGTCTTTAAGAGGCTGCTTACAGACTTAAAATATTTTTTATTGCCTGATTTAGTGTTGGAGTTGTAAACTGATTTAAACAATGACTTTAGACATTAAAAGGTCGGTACTCTGAGATGTTGATACAATAACTTTGACAGAGCTCTTACTTTGGGAGTATGGTGCAAATACATACTGTATGAGTCCAAGCTTTGTAGGTTATTTCCAAAGTCATCATTTTGGATTCCTGTTGCGAGTAGTCCCAAAGCCAAAGTGAAATAGACCAGACTCCCAGGCAGTTCTTTGATATGAACATCATTCCTCTACCTGTCTAAATCTATGACTATCTACCACTATCAGGGTCTGCATAGTGGCACATAATCAACTTACTGGATTTGCCTGTGTTTGCAACTTCTCTAATTTATGCTAGGTGTTGTATCACAGGAACATTTTTTCTGTTTTACAGTGGCTCATTTTCATGAGTCTGGGATCTGTTACTTATTTTACTAATCCCTTCCCTCTGCTCACAACTGATGGTGAAGTCCACCTATTTAATCTTATTGGGTAAGCCACCAATGCCATCTTGAAAAAAGAGACTTCATCATTGGAAATGAAAAGTAAAAACAAATAGATTTTAAGCGACCGGATTATCAAGCTGCTGCCTCACTTCCATAATGTGCAGAATGAGTCACCTTATCAGCTAGAAGATGTGTTTTTGGCAAAAAAATAAACCACATATCGTGGGCTTAAAAAGTGAAACATTAAACCTAAAATAAAGTATTCCAAAGGAAACAAAGTGTACTTTTAAATAATTTAGAAACTGATATAAATAAATTCTTAACTGTCTCATCATCTCTGAGATGCTAGTCAACTCTGGGGGAGAGCTACAGTACCATAGGCATACTTATTTACTGGCATGTACGTAAAACATGACAGATAAGCCTTCCAGAACTGATTAGGGTTACAGTATGCTGAGAAGGAAGGAAGCAATTAATTAACTAACATGCTTAGTATTATATAATTACTAGCGTGGTTGTCTTCTAATTTCATGAGTAAATGCATGATTATTACTTCTATGTTGTACTGTATATAGAGTTCTCTAGATTCAATTATTTAAAGGCATTGTTGGAGGAAGTATTTCACAGGAAAGATTGAAGGAAAACTGTTTTTCTTGTGGATTCAAAAACTACTGCATGCTACAGTCTCACTTTATTATGTCTAGCAGGACACAGAACATTAACACAGGAAATAGGTGCACAAATGTCATATACAAAACAACACTATATCATCTTTTTTTGGCATTTTACAGCAACTTTCTTCAAGCATGAAAGCAGCATCCATTAACGTTTTCCTAAAGGATAACTGGAAACCCGAGATCTACATATTGTAGAGGCCCTGTGAGCCTCTGGATTCTCTGATGTTTGAATGGAAAAAAAACAAGAAAATAGCTTCCCAAGCTATTTTTGCCACTGCTGAAAGCCAGTGCCTATTGTAGAACTAAGAACATACTGTACAGCTGCTTTTCCCTTAAATGAGACAGCAGCCCATCACAGTGTCACAGGGGAAGGGGCAATTTAAAATAATCGTTGAACATATACTAGAGCAGCCTCAAGAGGCACATGTAAGCGCAGGACTCGCATATGGACTCGTGCTCCAGACAAAATGCTGATGTGAGATAAAGCGTACAATATGTGTATGCAGTATAGACTTTGTGCTATGTAGATGCACTATGATCTGTGTATTGTACAGTATATTTTAAGTACTGTATATAGAACTTAAATTGATATTTTACCAAGACAAAGCCCACAATTTTCAATAAAAAGAATTGCACTAAAATTGACCACCATTAATTACCTATGCAATAAGGGTCTAAGCAACCTGTTTAAATGAGAGTTACACTAAATATTTGGTGGGATTATTTGAAATAATATTGGTGGGTAATATGAACAAGCATTTACTTGTAAAGGAGTGTGCTTCCTGTCATTTAAATAATAAAAATAAAACTAGATAATATGATTACTATGGTGACGGTTTCTGGGGTGCCTGGAAAAACGATGTGAACCCCTGGATAAATATTGCTTTTAAACATGAGACCAAGAGGGGAGCAGAACATTCCAGCTTTTGCTGAGCTGGGAAGGCGGATCATCATACAAAAAATTAGGGAACAGAGCAAAAATGACACAAAGCAGAGTGGACAATTCATCTCAGGTCTTCTCTCACAATCCCTGTACATCCCAGCTTCTTCCCATGAGAGGGGCTGGGCTGTTTTTCTTTCCTTGTTTGCACATCCTCTGTAATGAGACAATCTTTGTCGTGTTCTCGAAATGAGCAGGGAGAATTGTATTTTTTTCAGATTCAGATAGTGCTCATTTCTTTCTCATACAATATGGTAAACAGATTTACATGTACAGTATCTTCCCTTATTAACTGTGGATACAAGGACAAAATAATTCCCTTCTTTGGCTTTGGTAGCTGAATGCCATGATGATTTCATTTCTGTAGTTTCATGGCCTTCGTCTTAGGCTGTTGTTAATGAACTTCATATTTTACCAGATACGGCTCAATTTCGTTATCTCGAGATGCAGACATGCAAAGACACTTCTCTATCTGAACGTACATTTCAATGGGTGTAAACATTTTGTGTCCGTTTGCATTGCTGATCCTGTCTGAGCTGGAAATCGGTCATCAGTTTAATCTATAAGGTCACACAGTGAAATTGAAAGTACAGTCTACCAAAAACAAAGTTTATATATACTATTCACCCATATTATCCTATACTATCCACCCATTTTCAGGAAGCTTGTTGCTTATTGCTTGTAAAGGTTGTAATTGTGGCAATGCAGTGCTGTGGAAGGGATGTTGGTCCATCACAGTAAACACTCACTGACAATTTAGATATACAGAATCTAATTTAGACGCACAATTTAGATACAAGTATTTTTAAATCCTCAAAGGCAATGACAGAGTCAACCCAGTGGCTTTCTTCAGAATAAACGGGGAAAAACGAAGCAGAGGACACATGTGGAAACTGCATGGAGGTACAGATATTGTACACTGGATTGTTTAGATAGAGAAGTGCACTGATTCTTAGATGGGGCTGTGAAATTCATAAAATGTAAAATCATGACTCTTAATTACACTGACGTAAAATGCAGTATTTTTAGACAGCACTGTTTTACTGCTCTTAAAATCATTCACCATACAGTTGTCTTTCATCACTCCTTGCTGTGACTTTTAAGGATTGTATTTGTTCAATGTAAATAAAGCAGTTTTTTTTCTAAGCCTATTGTCTGCTCTGTTTTCCCACTGAATTACAACATGATGACTGATGTCTGGGAATTCATTCTTAGAACCTGCTAAGATCAAATGTGAAAACTAGGTTCTGGTAAAGCAGAAATATGAAGTATTACTGAAGAGGCCTGGTAGCAATCGTTTGTTGATTTATGAAACAGTCTAGAACAGAGTTTTCAAAAAATGTATCTTCTTGTGTGGGGACACTGGTGTCATTCCTGAAATGGAAAGTGAATAGAACTGTAACAAATCTAGCTATCTGTATAGATTAGTTTGAAATTAATCGTTTTTTATTATTAAATAAGTTCTGAGGGTTTTTCTTTTTTAAAATGTCAATTAATATAACATCACTTAATTTAGACTCCACTCTCTATATACTGTATCCTCACATTTTGCTTTTTTTGTTCTTTCTCCAAATTATCTAGAAGATAAAAATAGTCAACATGAACACTTTTTTCATACAGCAGTTAGCTTCTTTAAACTCACATTTTTACGTTTTACTGTACAGTATGTAACACATCTTGTTTCCTGACTTTAGAGATCTGTACCTGAATATACTGAAATATCATCATTGGCTTTATGCGTTGTTTGCCCTGTCTTAAAATTGGTCATTTTGAATTTTGTTTCTGGCAGTGTTCATCCAGAAATGCTATTCCTCCTATTTTACTATCATCTATTAGAGCTAACTGCTGTACCTGAATCCAGAACATTGATACAGTATAAGTTAAGAAGAGCTGTGGTCACAATAGAGGACCATGAAGTGTGGTTAATTGCGAAGGGAGCATTGTCTCAGCCCACATGACTTGCATGTTGATCACATTCACTTTGTCTCCAGAACAGTGTTGCTGTTTGCAAAAGTTCCAAAACGCCAGAATGGCGAGGTTATTTTAATAACATGCGTAAACTAGGCATGGTAGAAAGAACAGTCAAGTATGATTCAGGCAGTAGGACAGAGAAAAAAAGTTACACTTTACAGTGATTGAGCTACCTTCAACCTGTTATGTTGTAGCAGTCCTGAGAATGAAGAGCACTTCTGTGACCAAAACGTTAATTTAATGGCTGACTGCGCATTTGATTTTAGGCCACTATGAGGGCGCACCTTTGTACATTTAGATTATTTCCCCAGAGTCTTCTGAGTTGCTCAGTAATGGCAAGGAGTAATTATTTCATAGACTGGCTTGACAACCTGATCCAAAAAAAAGCACTGTGGAGACTTTTAGTTAACTTTGATCATCTATCTGAACAGATGAACAAGGTAGATGCTGACAGGAGCACATCTCTAAGTCTTTAAGCAAATTCTAGCATAAACCATTGTTACCATGGATTGAGAACTGCTTCTTGAATTGTCTTATTTTCCAGGCTGTTAAAGATAAAGTATCCTTTTCTTTCTTGTGAATTGAATTTATGTCTGTGTCATGGACTATTGATTTGCTAAAAAGATTTCTTTTCTATCACCAGGTTGCTTATTTGAGGATGAGTTGTGCACAACATATGAGATCTGTGTGAATGGTAAGTTCAATTCAAATTCTTTTGTTCATAATTGATTTTCAAATGGCATCTTATTTTCAATCCAGGTGTTTATTTTGTTATTTAATCAGAGTAAAATTGTCATTTATTAATCCATGTTTAAAATATCCCAGTATATACCTTTATTTTATTTTATTTCTGGTATTAGTCAGGAGTGTGTGAGGGGGCTCAGATCATACAGAATTAAATACTGTACTGTAATGGAAGATCTAATACTGTAGCTTTCATTCCAGCTAAGGTTTAATTAGCTAATTCAACTATTTATTGTCTTAACATACAGGCCATTTTTGTAACGTTATGTACAGTAGCCTGTAAATACAATATATCCATACACTTGATGAACTAAAAATTGATTTTGCAAAGAAAATACGGGCATGCAGCACACCAACATTCTTCTAGATATTAATTAAACTTTCATTAAATATATTAAGATAAGTGCTGAATATATTAATGGCTTAACTGTCTTAATAAGCTCACGTCTAATGCAATGGTTACTATCCCATCAGGAAGGGGATGTCAGAAACTTGTACTCAAATGTGTTATCAGAGAAGTGGTTTGGGAGGTAAAATTTAAGAATTACAAAAATAAAATGTAACAATTAATAAGACTGGACTGTTAAGGTCAGCAGGTCATAATTTGCAGTATATTTAAACCAGGAAAGCATTTGTCACTAAGGGAGGAGAGTCGTAAAAAGGGTGGTAACACTAATGTAGCAGATGTCAGGCAGGTTGAGAGGTACAGTAAATGCCAGTATGCACAAAACATTTAATTACAAACAGTACATATATGTTTGTAATATTATTTAGCAGTACCGTGGGTATGTACTGTATGTATTTGGAGAAAGCTGTATTTATGTATAATGTGGGCTGCTCATGCAGAATTCTTTATCCTTTTAAAAACAATTCTGAGCATGTTTTTATCATTCAAACAATGGATGATTCTAAAACAAATTCATTTATCAGGTGCTTTTTAGCCGCAAACCAGTCATTTTTGCTCTATCATTCTTATTCTGCTGCACATACTGTATGCTGCCATAGTGTGTCCTCCCTAATCATTCAGCATCTGTAAGAGTTACTGAATGAACACCATTCACTCCTGATCACTCCACTCCTATTTGAAAATAAAGTATGAACCAACAAGATTGATTCAATTTACATCATTCACTTCTTATTTAATTCATTTTTGATCTCATGCTGTTCTTTAGCTTTTTTTCATTTGCGTGAGGGACGTTTACTAAGAGGGAGCATGTTTTAGATCTGTTCTGCTCTTTGCCATGGGCAAGTTTTTTTGATCTAGATAGTACTCAATCCTGTATTTTACAATTTGTGTTGCCTTACATTGCATTTACAATAGAACATTCACTTCCATTAATTAAAAATTAATGAGGAGCACAGGTTGAATCCTATAGTCCAGACATCACCATCACCACTTCAGGCCTGGACTACATCATTTGCACACGCGGTTTCCTAAATGTTGGTGCACCGTTGGCTGGTTGTTGCCCGTCTGGGGTGAGCTTCCTTAGCTTGCTGGACAGTGAACCTGAAATTTACCTGCTTAAAATGTGGCTAGTGAGAGGCTGCTCTGCTTCTCCAGTTTGTGTTAGCGCTCATGAAAAGCACTTCAGGACCTGCAGCAGCATGTCAAATGAAAGCAGTCTATGACAGGTGGGTGCACCGGAGAAGTCCCATACTCCTCTTGCTACATGTGGTAATCTGAGTTGCTAAGCAACCGTTGATTCTACAGAGGGTGGTTATCACCTAGAAAATAATTAATGATTGACAGTTGTTAAAAAAACTAAACAAGTATTTTGTTAAGTAATGTGAAGAAGGTTTTGGAAATGAGGACGTTGGAGATAACAATTGTGATTTTTTTAAAACTGTGTTCCGTTTAATGTCAGGAACTGAAGATCTCTACCCTTATGTTCAACTGACTGTTTCTTCAGTTAATGAAAAGCTTAAAAACAGAGAGAAACCAACTTCAGCAGAGATGTGCTCTGAGACATTCCTGTTTGAAGCAGAGGTCATGGATCTGTTGCAATTTTGTGACTCTGAAGGCAATTTTGCTCTTAGACATAAATTTAAAAATTGCTAAATTGCATTAAGCACCCTATCTGCCTAAACAAAGAGAAGACCCACTGAAATTGAAAGATTGGATTAAAATGGAGATGCTTCATTCTATCTTTGAAGTGCTGAGGCTGATTAAAAGAACGATTATTAAGTTAGTAAATACATTAGGCTATAATGTTCATTTAAATTAGTTATGTATATACTGTATTTAGATATGTACACAGTACACAGTATATAGAGATGATAGGGAAATTAATTAGGACTAGTTAAATCTTTATTCCTGCAGTTCTTTTAAGATGCATCCTCTTGGGGGATACCATGGCCTCAAAGGAATTCTTTGTAAGTTATATGGTACATTTCTGTACTGATTTGTTTTTCTTTTGTTTTTTATGTAGCGAATTTAGAGAAAGTGGCAACCATAAAAAATGTTTGTAGAGATTAAGTTCATTTAAGCCTGCTCAGTGAAGAGTGAATGCCGAGCTGTGCAGGAGGAGATTCAACAAAATGTGCTGCAACATTGCAAATGAAATTAGACCCTTCTTCTCTTCCTGCAGGTTTGTTTGATGGTCTCTCTCAATTACACTAATTTACTCAGTCATTTCCTGTCTTTGAATAACCCTTTGTCTCACTTAGACTGTTCTCTAATAATGTACTTTGCTAACTCAATTCCTGAATATCTTAATTTGAACAGATAAAAATGCAGTTTGTAGCTCAGAGGTGTCACAACCTTCCAATGAGGTTTTTTGTGCTTTGTTTTCTTCGGCTTGAAAAACGATTCTACCATGGATTTTGACAGGAGAGAGCTCTGATCTGACAGTAATAACTTAACAGTCCATAAATAAAAGATATTTAATGGTTTCTTAATCATAAATTTTACAAAAGAAGTTACATGAATGTAAGAAGATGTGCTTTCTGTTGTAGTATGTGCCTTGTATCAAAGAAATCAGTTGTGTGTCATTTTGCTGGGTTTATTTATAGATTGGGTTAGCTTAGTGTATATGCAGTCTAACCTTACATCTTATACACATACTGTATATGTTTCATAATAGAGTAGACCTCCTTAAAGGGAATCAAAAGAAACAACTGATTTTCTTCATACTTTACTGTCACTGTTTGAAAGACCATTTACTGTACATCAGTTCAATAAAGCTAATCAGAACTATTAAGAATCTAGTATAACTTGGTCTTCTGACCTCAATAAATGGTCTTGTTTCTGATATATTTAAATACTTTGTGCTTAACCATTGAAAGTGCTGTTCAATATGGGAAGTATGCACCCTAAATTACACTGTAGGAAAAAAGTTTTTTTTGTGTATGTGTTGTTGAACGTCTGCCACAGAGTAGTGTGACAAACAAGGAGATGTGACCACCGTTGCTGTCTTCTTTGATCATCCACTGTGTCTGATACTGTACTGTAGGGACTGCAAATGTCTTTTTGAAGGAAATTGTCTGGGTAATAGTTGGCTGACTTTTTCTTCACCTTGCCAGCTGGCAGGTGATGTTTAATGTAAAGATATAACGGGGGTTTTGCATGCAGGTAAAATGGGAAACACGGAAGAGACTACTTATAAAAAAGACGTACTGTAATTTACCACTAGAAAAAGTGGGGAAGTAGTTAAAAAGGTAACATGTTAAGATATATGGTTAAAAGCACAGAATATGCTGTAAATAAAGGAATGCTATTTTAATGCTATTTAAAATTGTGTATAGTAAGACTTCATTTAGAATATTGTGAAACTTTCGATTACTTTTTATAAAAATATATTGCTATTTTCTAATCAGTCCAGTTTAAAGCAACCACATACTGAACCTACATTCCAGGACATCCAAGAATGTCCTACTCTGACAGATTGATAATAGATGATTGTATGAGACACAAGTGGCTTTTATGTCCCTGTCAAAGTGCTCCTAATCACGAGAATCAAGCTGGAAGACTGTGCAAAAGTGTCAAGGGTTAGTGGAAGGATATTTAAAGCTTCTTCATGTTATCTTGCCTTTTGTTTCGCCGAAGGGGAACGTTTTTTGCACTGCAAGTATTATCAGCTGGCTTGAATGTGTGCCCTAGCAATTTCTTGTAATTAGGCTTTCAAAATAACCCCAGGCACTGCTGGCCATGGATGGCTGCTTCTGGTTCTTACTCTACTACACAGTGTGTGCAGTACAGTACTGTATGTATATGTAAAAATGTGACTTGCTTTAAATCTTTGTCATTTGAAAGTTAAAGGTAAACTGGGTGTTGTAAACATCTTATCATCATCTAGCTGCATTTAGCAGTTAACCCACTTTTACACAATTACTGCAGGACATGTTAGGGGGTAAGTCAATGTTTGTATGTGAATGTGTCTGGATAGATACAGTATTTAGTGGTACTGTACAGTTTGTGTCCTACATCCTAAATTGAGGTACAACTCTCAGATTAAGGATTGTTTGTGCATTTAATCTTCAGGTATACGTATATTGTATCTTTTAATTTGCATGAACGGAAAGAGCAAAACATCTTTCAGTTGTCTACTTGTCTTAAATACTGATACAATTACATATTTAGTTTATTCAGATTATCCCCTGATAAAATGCACAGAAGCAAGGAAGATTTAGTTTCATTACTGTGTTCAGGTTTTGCAGTTTGGCCATGTCTAACAACCGAGTGTAGTATGAGTAGAGTTCAGCTACAGTAGGGAATATTAGCCAGACACAGGCTCTTGGTCAGTCAGATTTCTGTTGTAGAACATTACTTGCCGTTTCGATTTAACTTGCAGGAATATAGTCCCTGTGTGCCCCCAAAAGGTAACTTTGCCTGTTTGTGACTAATGTGTTCCATATCTTTGAAGATTGAAATAATGGAAAACTAAACTGCTTCCAGAAGATTAACAACATTGAAGACTCCCCCAAACCTTTTCCTAGGATAGTTTTATTGCT